CCCCTGAGCGGTCGCATGTATCTGACGCGTGAACATGTATTAAGCCCGGCGACGATGCACGATGCTGTAGACAAATCAGAAGTGTGTGATATAAGTTCACGTCTTGAAACGTTGAATGCTATTGCGACGACCAAGATTTGCTCCATAACACTGTTTAGCCGGTGGCCCCTGGTTAAGCCGGTAGCTGGAAGGCACCTGGACTCGGCGTAAGAACTCTGAACTTATAATGCCAAATTGAAATACCCACGACCATTAAGGCGAGCCTCTGAGCGATCAGGAGTGTCCCGGCAAGCTAGCAGAAAGGGTCCTGAAAGGCATTTAGGACCATCCGCCATTGGGGGAAAATGGGGAAAATCCTACATCAATGGGCAGGGTCCTGAGCGTCGAACGTAACGGCGGGTCAATTTATATGACCCTAAGCAACAACGCAAGTCCCTCCGAGCAAGTGGCCAGAACCCGACCCTATTCTGAAAGGCCCCTGAGCCGCAGAAGGTTAACCGTGGCGGCTAACGCTCAGGGACCTGTATCTTAACCCCGGTGGGTTAAGATATGTAGTCTTGGCAACAGAGTATAGAGCCTCTTGGGCGAATGGAGAATAACCGTGAACGACCCCTGAGCGATTGGGAGCGCCCCGCAGGCTGACATGGGGTTCCAGACATCAGCTTAGGGTCACTAGCAAATTGCGAGAACTTAACAGCAATATGGAAGACCCTTGGCGAGCAAGAACGCTCCTGCAAGTCAGCATATAGGGCACCCGGTAAAACCGTAGGACCCTGAACAGCACAGTGAACTATAGCTATAAAGCCTTTCCAACCACGACCATTTCAAGCAGCCATAAAGTACTAGTGCCTACTCATCGACCCTTCATACTTGCTTCGAGTTTACTCGTCAGCTAGAAGCCGAAGACGTCCGGTTGCCAGTGCTCCGTGTTAAAAACCTGCGTGTGTTCGGCCGGGCCTGGGCCCGTACGGAGTCGACGACACTGTCCGTAGCCACCTCTGGACCCGCCACTGGCCGCAACACTGCGAGTGGGTGGGAAACATGTGGTCAGCGCCGGGGACAGGTCGCCGAGTGCGAGTTCATTTTCCCCCTCACCTATGATGTTTTAAAAGACCCCGAGTCTTGCCACACCACTCTCCCCATTCCCTAGCCTTGTAATAGTCATCGCTGGCCGAAAGGCCTATCACCCGAACCACACCAAAAGTCAGCAGGTGTAAGCTTTTACCTAGCTGACATAAACCTGATATTGCTTGGAAAATCCTAGGCAGTCTACATCAGAATTGTTTCCCTTTGCTTTAGAATTGTTCCCCTTTCCCTGAATTGCTTCGACGAAAGTATACAAAGCTGGGTGCTGGTTCAGCCAACGTACTCGGTACGCAGCAGCGCCACCTATTTGCCTGACGTGGCCGAGTGCGCAGTTGTAAATTTGAATGGACTATGATAACGCTTTCATGGTAGCATCCAGATAATCATAAAATTGACGATCAAATGATAACGTAAATCACCCACTACACAGGTAAGCTGAAACAGGAGTAACAGCGGACCGTTCGCGTCACGTCTTGGTGTGTCTGGGGTGCATGACGCACCCGAAGCCTCTCTGGCTATCAAACACGCGGACGAAGTCAGCTTTGGGTTCTGCTAGCTTCTGCTTCGTCACGGGGTTTTGACAGAACACAACATTGCGCAGCATTTAGGCGGGTGTACCCAGTGCACCTGCCTGGCTACGGGCCTGCGTATCAGGTAGTCGTATTTCCGAATCAGATTTCCCTGTTTCGGGACAATGAGGCCCTTTGCTGGATTTGGCGGTCCCTTTTGTGAGTGAGAAGGATCCTGTTCTAAATCCAGAGTGCCCTCCGTGCATAACAAAGCGCTTTCCCCAGCACAGGAAGTCTTGTCTTCGTTTGAGGCTCTTCGTTGCATTAAGAGAAACACCTGTATTAATCAAAAGACTCATTCTGGACTTTTGTTGTCAATATTTATTTGCGTGCCTATTGATGGTGTGCAACAGTTTGATAAGGGGCCCCGTGCTTCCGGGGCCCTCCCTTGAATGAAATACCGCACAGGGGCCCCCTTGTGAGGAGGTCCCATTCCGTCCAGAAGGCCCCTGGAAAATATTGCCCCCCCCCCCCCCCTCCCCCCAGCTCAATACCCGCGTCACCGCCCCTGCCCCCAAACCGAATAGGGAAATACACCAATGGTGTCATATTGCCCGTGTTATACGTGTAATAGGCTGTTGGCAATGGGTTTAACCGGGCCGGCATTCAGGCGGCTCCGTCAGCGTTTAATCGTCGCGGCCGGCTGTGTTCATGCCCTGGGTCGTTGACCACGTGACTTGGACCGGCTGTGTTCGTGCCCCTGGGCCATTGACCACGTGACTTGGCCGGCTGTGTTCATGCCGCTGGGCCGTAGACCACGTGACCTGGCCGGCGGGTTGTTTATGCAGCTGGGTCATTGACCACGTGACCTGGCCGAGGTTGTGTGTGCGGACCAAAGCGGCCGCAGACTTCGGGCAGGGACGGCCGGGTGTGGCCGAAAGCGAAGTTGGTTCAGACGCTTACTGTGAATATAAGGGACCGAAGTGGCCTAGGGTCTACATTTGCAGGGGCGTGCGCCAATAACAGCTACAACGACAGGTGACAACGCAGATAACTACAAAAATACAATAAGTTATAATAAATTATAATCATAGGAAAGCAACTAAAAAAGTCCACTAAAAGTGGAGCAGAGCGAGCTGCAACTACACAACATGTCGCATGTCATGAAGCAGCATCGTCTAATCTTGATCTTCTTGCTTTTATGTGTAGATCTAGGTACATTTTATATCAACGTCTCGCCACGTCCACAGCTATCACACATCACTCAGCAGCTAAACCATCGACAAATTACTCCTCAAACGGATTTCACCTAGGGCTTGGCCCAATTCCTCCCAAAGCCGGAGGGCTGGAGGCCACCTCCCCCCACTGGACAGGACACTACACCCCTGCAAGGATGGATGCAGAGCGAATCAGGGCACATGTCCCCCAGAGGCCGTCCAAACACTGTGTTACTCATCTGGTCACCAGCCTTCACCTACCCTGCGCTTCCAGTTATCGACATGTTTACTGAGGCTTTGCACGCTCAACACAAAAAGGTGTAAATACTTCTTGGCAGTGCATATGCTAGATTTGTCGTTTGCCGTCTTGCAGAAAAAAATAATGTGCACATTCTTTTCTATCTTGTTCGAGGTTGGCAGGGGTTGAAGCCTCGCACACCGCCTGTGGACCGTCGGATCACGCACGGCTGAAATCCCGCACGCCACCTCTGGGCCGTCTGATCACGCATAGCCGAAGCCCCGCACACCGCTTCCGGACCGTCTGATCACGCATAGCCAAAGCCCCGCATACCGCCTGTGGACCGTCCGATCACGCATGACTGAAACCCTGCACACCGCCTGTGGACCGCCTGATCACTCAGAACTGAAGCCCCGCACACCGCCTCTGGACCGTCTGATCACGCAGGACTGAAACCCTGCACACCGCCTGTGGACCGTCTGATCACGCAGGACTGAAACCCCCCACACCGTCTCTGGACCGTCTGATCACTCAGAACTGAAGCCCCGCACACCGCCTCTGGACCGTCTGATCACGCAGGGCTGAAGCCCCGCACACCGCCCCTGGACGGTCTGACCACGCAGAGCTAAAGCCGTGCACACCACCCCTGGACCATCTGATCACGCAGAGCTAAAGCCGTGCACACCACCCCTGGACCGTCTGATCACGCAGCGCTGAAACCCCACAATACTGGAACACCCGCATCGATGCAACGCAATCCAGTACGTATCGCCAGCCCGGAGAATGCCTACTCACGCGGCTACACCCCTTCCACAAAACGCCAACGCAGCCTCGCCACTGCCCCGGGCACGTCTATCCTATCAGCTGTGACATTCAGACGCCACATTGTTATGGCTGATCGCCACCGCCGATGCCCTGTGCGGGGACGGGCTATGAATTCCGGTG